TAAACAGAAAATGTGCTGGTCTTAGCTTTCGTGGAGGAGGAGCTCTGAACTGAGTAGGGGCTCTTCTTTACTCCACGGAAGACAGACTGGACGAGGGATGTCCTCAACCTCGACACGGCACGTCCCATATGGCTGATAGGGAAAGTTCCTGCAGATATGCAGGACAGGTACGAATAAGGCATTGCCAAATAAGTACCCGCGGATCAACTGAGGATATGACATTAGGCAGCAGTAATGTCATTACTGGATTTAAGGCTATGGGAAGTAAAAATCCTGTAGGCTTAATTCCAGATACTCACAGGCGTCACTCACATTATGAGTTAAGCGGCTGTGATACTGCGACAACAGCGGCGTCTGACCCAGAGTGGGCGGCTGCAAACAGCGTCTGTTCCCAGAGTGGGCGGCTGAAACGGAAACCTTGCCAACACGCAGTGGCTCGCGTGGCATTGAACTTAGCCAAAAACCCTTACAAATGTCAAATTTTAAAACAAAACGGAAACTACCCCAGGTGAGTAGACACTCCCACACTGATTTATCAGTCTGTCCCAAGGATTCTGGGGGGGACACAAATTTGACAAGTGCATGCTTTAAAAAACAAACAGTTTTCAAAATTGCAACCATGAATACTAGAACTCTACTTTCTGATGAAAGCTTTAAAGAAATGGAAGAAGAATTAGAAAAGATCAGATGGGACATCGTCGGAGTTAGTGAAGTGAGAAGGCGAGGTGAAGGCCTCGAGACCCTAAAATCCGGTCACTTGTTTTACTATCACGGAGAACAACATAAGTCAGTAGGAGGCGTCGGATTCTTTATAAACAAACAGCTAGCAGGAAATCTAAAAACTGTCCAATCAGTATCCACTAGAGTTACAAAGTTACTAATCTAAAAGTTATCCAAGTCTATGCTCCAACAACAGAATATACAGACGAGGAGATCGAAGTCTTTTATGATGATTTAAGTACAGCCATCACAAACAACCGCACACATTTCACAATTATATGTGGAGACTTTAACGCCAAAATAGAAACAAAACTGGATCCAGCAGAAACTGCTCTTGGAAATTTTGGAAGTCAGGGACGGAACGACCGTGGCGACACTCTTTTAAACTTCCTACTAGAGAAAAACCTATTCCTAATGAACAGTTATTACTACAAGAAACCTCACCGCAGATGGACGTGGAAAAGCCCAGATTGGAACACGACAAACGAGATCGATTACTTTATCACTGATAAAAGATACATATTTACAGATGTGACAGTGCTAAATAAATTTGCGAAATTAAGCGACCATCGTATGGTGAGAGCCACCATTGTGTTAAACACCAACTATGAACGACACAATATGATAAAAAAGAAGCAAATAAACAGATGGACACATCCAAACAACGAACAAAATTTTGAAGAGCATATCGGTAAATTCCTTCAAGAAAAATCATCAACAAATGATATTAACATTCTAAATGACATAATAGTAGAAGCAATAACAGAAGCTCAAAAGAAATACTCCCCAAAAAGCGCGAAAGAAGAAAAAATTAGTCTGGAAACACAGAAAAAAATGGAACAAAGAAGAATACTGAGAAGCGACGAAAACTCTAGTAACGACGATATAAATAGAATGAACAAGGAAGTATCAAGAGAAATCAGAAAAGACTTAAGAAAATACAAAGATGAGAAAATCATCAAAACCATTGAGGAAAATAAGAGTATGAAAATAATGAGACGCAAACTCACAAATGGAAATAAACAAATAGTCAAACTCAAGGATAGAAATGGCAACATCACATCAAACAGAGAACATTTGTTACAAATTGTGGAATCATTCTATGAGACATTATATAGCAACCAATCGACTCTAGATATAGTCGAATATCAACAGTGGAAGGTTCAAAATCAGAGTTCCGAAGATATTCCAGAAATCTCCTTGAACGAAATTTACAAGGCCCTAAAAAAGATGAAGAATAACAAAGCTCCGGGGGAGGACGGTGTCGTCACCGAAGCGATAAAGATAGGAGGCTCAGTACTGATAACCAAAATTCAAAAGCTCGTTAATCTATGCCTATGGAATCAAAATATCCCAACAAAGTGGAATAATTCAATAACTGTACTCTTACACAAGAAGGGAGATATAGCAGACCTGGAAAGATAGAGACCAATCAGTCTCCTTAACCATCTTTATAAATTATACAACCGAATAATAACGAATAGATTAGAGACAAAGCTGGATTTTTACGAACCTCGGGAACAAGCTGGTTTCCGCCCTAATTACGACACAAACGATCACCTGCAGTGCCTAAAAACCCTAATAGAAAAAACTAACGAATATAACCGTCCCTTGGCATTGATATTTGTAGACTTTAAAAAGGCGTTTGATACAGTGGCACTACCGTCCATCTTAAGAGCACTACAAGATTGCAGGATCGACCACAGATATTGTAATATAATTAAAAATATATATGAAAATGCCACAACAACCATAAGTCTATATTCCGCAACTAATAAAATAAAGATAAAAAGGGGAGTCAGGCAAGGTGATACCATGTCACCAAAGCTGTTTATTACCGTTCTTGAGTATGCATTTAAAAAACTAACATGGCAACATCGTGCTTCTGTCAGATAATTTGGGAGAGATCAAAGACATGCTCCAAGAACTGAATGACATACTACAAGAAACTGGGCTAGAGATAAATTTCGAGAAAACCAAAATGATGACCAATATGGTTCCCAGCGAAGAGATACAGATCAATAACAACAAGGTAGAATTAATCGATAAATACACATACTTGGGTCATGAAATTAGAATAACCAGAGACAACCAAACCTGCGAGCTAAATAGACGAATCATGTTGGGATGGGCGGCATATGGACGGATAAGAGACATTTTTAAAACAAATATCCCAATTCACCTGAAAAGGAAGGCATTTAACCAATGCATCTTACCAGTCTTGACCTACGGAGCAGAGACCTTAACTTTAACGAAAGCTACTGTCGAAAAACTGAGGGTAACACAAAGGCGAATGGAGAGATCAATGCTGGGCCTGACCTTGAAAGATCGCGTAAGAAATGAGGAGATACGCCGACGAACTGGCGTAGACGATATTATACTGCGAATCAATAAACAAAAGTGGAGGTGGGCTGGACATGTTGCTAGAATGGAAGACGGAAGATGGACGAAGAGATTATTGGAGTGGAGACCAAGAGCCGACAAGCGAAGTCGAGGCAGACCACCCACCCGATGGACCGACGACCTAAGGAGGATAGAAACAAACTGGATTGCAGCAGCTAGAGATAGAGAGAACCTATATCCAACAATGGATGTGAAAATTCGGCTGGATGATGATGATGATGAAACAGAAAATAAATATTTAAAGACATCGTCGTGCTCAACAAATTGTCAATAGAAATCGACCACAGGTTAATTTGAGCAAAGACATAATTAAATGTCAAATTGGAAAGAACAAAGATGATCCTAATCCTAAAAACACGAAAAAAATAACGGATTACCTTAAAAAACAACAACCCATATAAATATACACTAACCGGACATATATAAGACTTGGAATATGAAATAGAAGATGTAGAGTAAACAAATGATGGCATACCGAAGGCAATAAAAAAATGGAAAGAAAGTGTCCATAAAAAAACTTAGCCAAAATACAAAAGAGATACAAAAAGATAGAGTTACAAGAAGACAGCTGACGGAAAAAAACGATTCCAACTACATAACAATGAAGAAATTAAATAAAGATATTTACTGATCACTCCGCAAAGACACAAGGGAAAATAATATAAGAGAAATAACTAAAATAATTCAAGAAAACAAAAGTTTAAAAGTTTTAAGGCGAAATATGAGGCACATAGGCAACAACAATTTGTACAAAATAAGAATCAAAGATCGAAAAATATTTCTACAGGGATCAGAATTAATGCCATTAACACCATACGAAGTCAAAACGACACTTTTAAAAATAAATAATAACAAATCCCCATGGCGATGACGAAATAGTAATCGAGGTGATCAAACTAGGTGGAAATAAAATAATCCAGGCTATGGCCAATTTTTTTACCGAATACATCCACAAATAACTTGGACATATAATCAGAGGACCAAGATATGAGCTCCTTCGGCTAATTCTCAATGGTAAAATCGAAGGAAAGAAATGGATAGGACGGAAGAAACTCTTTTGGTTGAGGAATTTGCGGCAGTGGACAGGTTTGACAGCGGACCAATTGCTACACGTAGCGCAAGACCGAGATCAGTATAACAATATTATAAGCATGGTAATCGCCGACGTTCCGTAGGGATATGGCACTCTAAGAAGAAGATATCCACAAAGGCAAAACCCTTTCTCAATGGGTTATTACACAAGCAAGGAGATATAACAGATCTAAGAAACTACCGACCTATCAATTTGCTAGCTATATAATCAGTTCACAAAAATCATAAAGAAAGTACTTTGAATTAGACTTCTATTAGCCTACAGCTCTAACAACCACTTACTAGTAATAAAGATCCTAATAGAGAAGTTTCCAGAATACAACAAGCCATTGGCACTGATATTCGTAGACTACGAGAAAACATTCGATACCATAAGCCAGCAGAAAATGTTATAAGCATTGACAGAATACCAAATAGATGACCGCTACACTAACACAATCTAATATATCTACCAAAATGGCGACAACTAGCGTAAGACTATCTGAACAAGAAACAAATAAATTCTGTATACAGCGAGGAGTACGCCAAGGAGACATCATCTCTCCAATGCTATTCACGATGCTTTTAGAACATACTTGTAAGAAGGCAGATCTGAAGCTGTATTTTTACGTAGAATAATATAATCTGTCTAAACTACAATCGACAACTTTAAAATTGTGTCTCTTTAATGTTTACTTGCATCAAATATGTTTATAAGATTGTATACGAAAGTATTATAACATATTACATTATTTACATATTTAACTATAAATGAGTATCACGATAATTTTATAATTATTACTTACCTTTCTTTTTTTTTCTTTTTTGCAATTGTCTTAAACGGCATAATTCAAAAGGTAGTTCAAAGGGACGATTCTTTGGATATACCTCTTTCCTTGGTATTCTCTTTTGGACAGCTCTATAATTAGAAGCATAATCTAATTCATCTCTAATTAAAGTGCTAGTAGTATATTTTTCATCTCCTGGCTGGATCTTAGATTTTATTTGATTAAGATACCTTGGGTGATGTTCACAAGTATCGTCTTCCATTTTTTATTTCTCTTAAAAATTAAAATTTTGATAACAAGAAACTATAAAATATCAATTTGACAATTTTAACTGTCAATTTTGTTTGCCCTTACCTAATATGTCACAATGTCATGTAGCACTGCCATTTTTTTGGTATTTTTTATAGTCCAGTGTACCACGGCATGACTATGCCGTGGTACACTGGGCTATATATATTGCCGTATATATTTTACAGAGAGGTAAAAACTACCCCTATTGCAAAAAATTCAGAATAAAATTATAACTTAGAGCATTTATAGTGTTAAAAAATATTTATAGGGTTTGAACTAAGGTTATAGGATATTCTTAGATGCTATTTATAATTTGTTAACCCTTTTTGATTTATTTTAACTTATTAAGCATTCTTAACGATATAAGAGATTCTTAAGGGTTGGTGATAACCAAATTAGTATTAGGTGATACTTATCCTCTCTTAGGAAACGCTTAAATTTTAAAAATTGTTGGTGAATACGGCTGTATGTGTCTGTGTGTGAAATATATGGTACGAAAACAAGTCCATTAGCCACAGAATGTTTTATTTATGTTTAAAGATTTTTTTTTCTTGTTTGCTACCTTTTTCTAGATATATATATATATATATATATATATATATATATATATATATATATATATATATATATATATATAAATCACTAAAGTCATACGAATTTATTTACGAGCAAAAATATTTCATTTCAATAAGAGTTAGAATTAATTTATTAGATTTTTCTAAATATTTGTTGCATCCAAAGAAAATATGGTTAAGATCTCCACAACAACTTATATCACAACTGCAGGATGAAGTCAGTAATACCAGAGAACTACGTAATACTCCAAACTTAAATATACGTGACGGGAATCTTCCATAATTCGATTTTAAGCGAAATACACTTGCCGACAAGAATTTGGTAGTCGAGTAATTGAATATGTATTGGGGTGGGAGTGGGAAAGTGGGATGTATCTGGAAATCTGTATTTTACGAGTTTTCAACAATATTCTCCCATTGCTGTTCCCATTTCAGCCTTATTTTATTTTTTATTGAGTTAAATATATTTCTTGCTGTATAAATATTGCACTCCACTTTGCACTGCTTTCTTAGCTAAAGTATCAGCTTTTTATTTCCTGGTATACCTCCATGGTCTCTAACCCAAATAAATAATATATTTAAATTTAAAATAATGTTTTTTAAACAACATAACATAGGACACTTGATTCCTTCTAATTTTAAATTTTTATAAGTCTAATGCAGATTTAGAATCTGTTATATTACTCATTTGAGTATGTTATTGGATGTTAACCAGGTAACACCTTTTATAATTGCAAAAAGCTCGGCAGTATAAATGCTACAAACAGGTGGTAATTTATATATCAATGACTGGTTTGTATTTTGGATAAATACACCACAACCAACACCTTCCTTCGTCCTATATCCATCTGTAAATATAAGAGTTTTGTTATAGAAATTACCAAGTATGGATTTTAGAAGGATGTGAATTATTTGATGATGTACTTGAGATGGTATACTTGGGAATTATAATTATGTGTGTTTTTAGGTAAGGTGTGTGATAAGGTATGGTGTATATGTATTGTAATTTGTTACTACCAAACAAATTTTGATAGTAAAGTTTAAAGTCAACATTAAGAAAACTGAAGCCATGTGTATTGGAGGGACAAAACAATCCATTATATTAGACGATGGGGTAGAAATTAGAAACTGTGATGAATACACGTACTTGGGTATGAAGATAACTCAAGATGGAACACTCGATGCTGCTATAAAAGACAGAAACACAGAGGGTAGAAAAGCCATATCCATAATGAACGGCATTCTGTGGGACCAAACAATATCTAAAGCGAACAAACAACTCATATAAAACACCATACTTAAAAGTGTAATCACATATCGCAGTGAAGTTTGGCCAATGAAACAAAGAACAGAGAAACTGTTACTAGCAACAGAAATGGACTTCTGGAGAAAAGCAGCAGGCAAATCAAGAAGAGATCGGATACCAAATGAGAGAAAACGAGAAATGATGGGAGTCAAGCATACAATAGTTGATGACATAAAAACAAAACAGTTAATATGGTACGGCCATGTACAGAGAATACCAGATGACATGATTCCAAAACAGATTTTGACGTGGACACCACAAGGGAAAAGGAAAAGAGGAAAATCGAGAAGAAGCTGGAGAGAGGGAATTGAAAAAGAACTAGAGAAAAGAGAAATCCCTTCAGATCTATGGTTGAATAGAGAAGAATGGCGGTTAGGTGTCGGAAGGCGTCGGAGAACGCTATAAACCGATAGTAGTAGTGGTCTCAGTAAATGCTTCTGCGAGCGGGAAAGAATTTTTTAGTTCCCAATACTGGTTTGTTAAGTCTTTTTTTGATGGGCTGCAACGATCTTTCAAGTGGCCCCAACAGTTGAATCAATGGTTCCGTTCGCCCCAACAGTTGAATCAATTGTGGCCAAATTTGAATCTGATCATCTTTAAGCATCTTTTAATATGCTTATTCAACGCATTCACTGTAGGAACAAGGGATAATAATTTGGTGTTATTTATGTAGTGTTTGCCTTAATGAATAACTCACATCGCATTTGTTTAAGAAATAAATGCAAGTCTTAAATGTTTAAAATCTTTTTACTTGTGTATCCTTAGCAGCCGGAAATAAAATGCTTAAACTATACTTACCGGTTTCCAGAATTTTCTATTTCGGAGGTACTACTGTAAAACATATCTGCCTGTTTTCTTAAATCCGGTTTTTTTTCTATAAATTAAAAAATTGTCTTTCTACCTATATTATAAAGTGTTGACATTGTATAAAAAATATGAAAACGTTATAAACTTTGCACTTCTTGGATAGCCTACTTCAATTTGGCTATCCAAGATTTGAGATGAATAGAGTAAAGTGCCCTAATATTAGATACTTTTTTTTAACCCTAATAAAAGTTTTAATACGTCAATTAATTTATTATTATTTTAGTGCAAAAAAAATAAAAAAATCTATAGAGAATCATTTATTGAACGAAAATAAATCATTTATACGAAGTAAAAAATAAAATTTAAATTTTTATAAAAAACGGTAAATTTAGACTGACAAAAAAATGTTCCTAATACCGGATATTAGGATAACGGGATACATTGGTTCAGTTAGTGTGAGCCCACTTAAAACACTTTGAGCACTGAATCCATTGCTCGTCCGAGATATCTTCAGAGAAGAGTCCAGTACAAAATATACATTCTGCGTCCTCTTCCCCAATATCACACTCCATGTCAGAATCATCATCTAAAATGAATTCTTGATCTTCTTCAGATGAACTAAAAGCTTCCCCTTTTTTAGGACTTTTCTTTTTAACCTTGGTTGTCATTCTTTTCTTAGCAATACATTTTCCTTTATTTTTATTTGTTTTCTTAAAAAGCCCACATTTGTCTATTTTTAATTTCGGAATTCCCTTTGAAATACTGTTATTTCTCTTCTGTTCTGCCAAACTACTTTCTAACGCATCTTTGTATGGTGTACCCGTAATCAAGGCAGTAGATCCTTTTCTGGACTTTGTTTCTGGGTGGGAAAGTGGTGGCTAAAGGGCTAATATCTGGTGGCCACACTGTTGAATCTCTTTTATTAGATTTTATTAGCAATGTTCTTGCATGATAAATCTTCCACACATTTGGTCGCATCAATACTTCTTGGAGGAGTTACAGGCTTCGTAGGAGTTACTTGATTTTCTTGTTCAGCCTCTGGTAGATTTGGAACTGGAACTCGGTCACCTTCCGTTTGATGGTGAATGGCAAAGTCGTGTTCTCGAAAAATGTGTTTATTAAATGGGCAGATACAGCTCTTTCGAAAATACTACTGTAGCACATCTTACATTAGCTCTTCCAAGCAATTCGCAAACTTGATAGCAGGTGACTACTCTTCCAGGGTTGTACCTTAGCCATTTTCAATTTCCTGAAAGAAGTAGGTTTAAAGAGGTCCCATGAAAGCAAGGTCCTACCTGCTTTTTACCTTTTAAGGTGATTATTTTGGTATGCTTTGATTGTACAGACGTTATATCTGTCTTATCTACATTAAAGATTCGACAGGGATTAAATTTCACCTTCTCCATCGCAGGTTTCAAAATTAAAAAAAATATATTTACGTTTTCTTCTGTGAATCCTTTAATTCTGGCAGTTGATAAACCCTGTGGTCTCCTAAATGTTAGTTTAGGATTCCTCTTTAAAAATGAACGCAACCATTTGTAACCTCCTGTTTTCTAATTAGTTGAAAACGGATGTTTTAAATTGTTCCGAATAGCTAATTGAAAGACTAATCTTCGAAAATCAGAAAATCGCAGTTTGTAAAATCTTCTATTCATTTCTAGGCAATAATCGACCAAATCCGCTTCAATTTCTTTGGAAAACACTGGTGGACGTTCCATATTGGTTTGAAGGAGCATGGCAATTTCCACAATTAAGTTACATGCTTGACAATTACCTTGATAGGAGTTAATTGATTTTTCCGGTAAAAATTTTTTCGTTTTGTAGCTGTATCTCACTTATTTTTCCAGCTAGATTTTTGATTCAAAACCATTTTTAAGGAAATTTTATAACAATAAAATAATGAAAACCTTTTTTTACACTTCACAAAATTTATTATAATTTAGTATCACTACAGCTGTTTCAGCATAGTGCTTTTCTCAAGTGATCTATTTTTGGTATGCGTTTAACCGTTATAGTCTTCAACTGAATAAGTTGAGGAGAGGAGAACTGGTTGTCTCTTCTTCATTCTTTTAATGATAACTTAAGGCCTTTATTTTGGTCATTAAAACTATGATTATGGTCTAGAAGGTGAAGTTCGTACGTAGAATCTGTATTTCTATTATTGAAAGCCCTTATGTGCTCTGTTATTAAATTTCAATTGATTCGATTTGATTCCAATCGATACGATTCCATGAGATTTTTGATTTGATTTGATTCGATTCGATACTATTCGATTGAATTAGATTAGATTCTATCCCATTCGATTTTGGTTTTGATTCCAATTGGATTTGATTCCAATTTATTTTATTTTATTTTATTTTATTTT